AGTTAGTAGTATTGATAATAATAACTATTACTAATATTATCATAACAAGAAGAGCAACAACAGTAATACACCACATAATAATAACAGCAAAAAATAAGTACTACTACCCATAATCATACTGATCATCCTAATAGTAGCATTGCGAATAGCAACCATGAATAATCTTAGCGGTAGTCACAATGATAGTAGCAGTTGCTGTTTTTGTCACTTGCATTGTACCTACGACTACTACTCTTAATATTATTGTTATTACGATTATTTCTCTTGTTACTGTTGTTCCTATGAGTACGATGATGTCGATTATGGTTTTTGAAGAGTACAAGCACTCTTACTTCTGTTGGTGTTCTGAACGGCCCTTACAAAGAAGCTCGATGCCTGCCACATGCCACGCAACCCGTTTTGACTCTGCAGGGAAATGCTGTCTGGCTGAATTCCTCAGAAGTTGGGAGGTGGGTTTTAAGTTTTAGAGTCTGGATGCTGATGTTGCCCTGGAAACTGCATCTTCTCAAGTTCAGTGTCTATGGCTTCGTAGTATAGGAGCCTTACTTAACAGCCTTAACATTTAGAATGTGGTTTTGGAGTATCTTATGCTGTACGTGTATCCTAAGGAATCATAATCGCATGTATTGAAGCTTCTACATTGCCGCTATCCCCCTCATCATGGTCCTGAGGTTGTTGATGATGCTGAAAATGTTTTTGTCAGTCATGATACTCACTGTTGTTATGGCGACTTCTTGAGCAAGCTGATATCATAAGGCCGGTACACAGGGACATCATTGCGAAGTATTCCAACCCATATTCGTCAGCCGAGATAAAGATGATCTTCGATAGACCTCGGGAGATGTTCTGAGGAATAGTGCCCCCAGTAATACCAGTTGTAATGTATCTTATATTGTGTTATACCCTTATACTGTATTATACCAAGTTATAACGAACTATATGCTACTGCATTAAATTCTATTTCAGTACCCTGCAATAGCGGTTGTACCAAGCAAACATATCAGCAACATGTACTCTTGTGCTCCTTACAAGTGCCAGTTACACGCCCTGTATCATTAGATGTATCCTCGCCATCCCATTGACTTGTCCAGCATCCAGTTAGTTCAAAGTTGTTTGCCAACCTTAAAGCCTAAACACTAAGCCCTAATTGGTCGCGGCCCGTTGCTCCAGGGCTGCCTCTGCACAAGCATGCGGTCACTTCAGCGTGCTTTGCTCTACACACGCCCTGAAGACCCGTACTGCCTTCACGTTCAGAATCCTTACTTCCCCAATAAACCAGGGAAATAAAAGGTTGAACTTTCAGGTTACTACTAAGTTATAAGAACCCGAAAAGTTCAACGGTTGGGATTTGGAGGACTAAGAATCTAAAACATAAAGCCTATATAAGCCCAAACCATAAACCTGTGAAACCCACATATGTGCCCCAGCCCGAAACACTTCAACGCCTACGCCGGAATCCGTGCCTAGACGTCCCGAAGCCTGTCCATGCAGTGTCCCCGGAGATTTAATGAATGCTTAGGGGTTAGACCTCTGATTCAACATAACTCTAGGTTTTATAGAACCTACAGAGTACACTTATGATTGAACGCTCTTCCTTGGAGCATTTCGGGGGCTTCGAACTCCCTGTGAGATAGCCCCAAAAGCACCCAAACCGTAAACCCGTGAAAGCCTAAACCCTAAAGCCTAGAGGCCTCAGACCCTAAACCGTACCCTCAAAGCCTGAATCCTAAACTTAGGGATTGGGGTTTAGGGTTTAGGGTTTAGGGTGTAGGCGCTTTAAGGATCAGGGCCGCAGCAGCCCTGGCCGGCATCTCACGGGAAGAAAGCCTTCAGCTGATCTCCTTTGTAAAGAACCTTGGCCATTCGATTAGGGTTTAGGGTTCACGGTTTAGGGTTTTCTCCTTTGTAAAGAACCTTGGCCATTCGAGGAAGCCTAGTGCAGGGGCTGTAATGGCTACAAAACGGCTTTGGTGTATGTTGCAGTGCAAGTAAATAGACGAATGAAGCTACACAGATACATGTTTATACACATATAAATAGGTTTATGTGTATGTGTTCTTCCGACCGCTCAGCCCCATAAGACAAGCATTCGCACCATTCAAAGCTGACAAAAGCCCAATCCCAGAATGGTGCAGGAGTGGGCATCTCCGGAGCGACGAACTCAGAACCCCTATGCTGATTTCGGATCATCATCATCATCACCATCATCATCATCATCCTTATCATCCTTATCATCCTTATCATCCTTATCATCGTCATCCTCATCGTCATCACCTTCATCGTCATCATCATGATCATGATCATGATCTTCATGACAATCACCATTGTCATCTATACTCATCATCAGCGTGGTCATGATCTCCGTAGCCATCACCATCATCACCATCAGGTATATAACAATCACAAGCAGCCGCTTCACGGTCTTACTCTCCGCGGCGATTCTTCCTTCTCGCACTCGACAGGGACCCCTCCTTACTCGCCATCACATTCAGCTTTCAACTGTGCGTTGCCACCGTCATCCTCAGCAGCATCGTCACCAGCGTCATTCTTTATCTTCATCAGCATATCAGACCCCGAAGAAGTTTGCACAAGGACTGTTGACCTGAGTTTCGAAGCCCCCAAACGTCCCAAACCACAACCACCCAACAGACAAAAAAAACGAAGCCCACCCAATATCCAAAGAACTCTAAGATTCTCCGGGACCGAGTAAAAGCCGAAAGCCTTTCTATTCTCCTCACCTCTGACTCCAGAGCCCTCCAACGGGGCACCGGACATGCTAACACTGCATTACCTGTGCAGGTGACAATGTGGGCAGAAGCTATGCCGCTACGCAGCCACACTTTCGGATGTCGTCATGTGGGGTTGACAGTTCTCTTCGCCAGAGGAATGGGGTCTCGTTTTCAGCAACACTCCCAGGAAGAAATACGTTCAATCATGTATACACACGCGCATATTCATGAGTATGTGCGACATATGCATGCAGACTTGTGAATGAATGCAAACAAGTACACATGCATATGCACTTACATGCATGCGTACAGATGTACAAACCATTGCTTGTAGCTTAAGGCTTGAGGCTTGGGCTGTTTGGCTTCAAAGTTCTGCAGGGTGAACGGGCAGCTATGAGACGGTTGATGCTATAAATCCTGCATTACCTTAAGGACCCTAAACTATGGGAAGTATTGATTTCCTTATTATGGGCAATGCCGGATTTACATCATCAACCGTACCATTGCTGCGCGCCGTCATGGAATTTGGAGAGTTATCTTCAGGCCCAGAGCATTGAGGTTATATTTCGTATAAGGACCCTAAACCCTAAGCTGTAAAGGGATGCTTTCTGCATGGCTTGGTCCAGGGCGCGCTTTTTTACGGAGATCTTCCCTCGGCATACGGAGGATGTCGAAAGGTGCTGCTACGAGACGGGGCTTAGGGCTGCTTTGGGTTTTGGGTGCCTGGGGCTTCAGTTCTTCTGGTTCATGACCTGATGTTTGGTGGCCCTAAACCTTTAAAACCCTAAACCCTAAACCCTAGGATACAAGCTGGGCTTGAGGATCGTCGAGCCTGTCTGCGAAAGCTTCGGGCTCATCGCTTAGGGGAAGATGAACCCTCTAACGTTTAAGCCTGTAGGGTTTAGGGTTTAGGGTTTAGGGTGCAGGGCAGCCTATACCATGACTGAAGCATTGGTATACCCTAAACCCTACCCTGCCTAGCTCCTTCACATCTGACGCAGTGCCAAGTCCAGACGTCAACAGAAAGTGAAGCTTTCAGTTATCCTATTTTGCTATACTATACTGTTTAGGGTTTAGGGTTTAGGGTTTAGGGATACTGTACTGTACCCTGCTACACCAGACTAAGATACTGTACTGGACTACACTAGACATTCGACTGCACTGAGACGAGTTACACTGTGCCATCCCGTCCTCTCCTATATTATCCTCTACTTGGAGGTTCATGGGTAGTTATAAGTGGAGTCATAAGTCCCCTAACATAGGCTATAAGCATAGTTACCCCACTTATAACCCTACTTATAACTACCCATGAACCTCCCAGTACCTAACTCTACTCTAAGAGTCTCTTATACTCTACAGTACCATACCGTACCGCACCATCCCGTACTGCACCGTACCTACCAAACAATACCATGCCACTATGCGTATAAAATGGCAAGGCATCGTCGTCTCTTCACTACTTGGAGGTTCATGGGTAGTTATAAGTGGAGTTATAAGTCCCCTAATTTGGTTATAACCATAGTTACCCTACTTATAATCCTACTTATAACTGCCCATGAACCTCCAAGTAGCGCTCAGGGCTTCTTAGTATTGGTTTCGGGCTTCGGGTCTGCAATCAGTGTTTACCCAAAGGCCCCATAGTAGTTCCTTTTCTGGGATTACCTTATGGGATTAGAAGCATGAACCTCAAAAAGGAACTACTATGGGGCCTATGGGTAGGCTTTCGGCACCCTAAACCCAAAATCCCTTAACCCTAAAGCCTAATTTAGGTAAGAGTTCCGGGCCCACAAGCTCTTTTCCGCATCGTGCGGCAATGTAGTCGTCGCATAAAGGGCCCTCTCCAAAGAGATTCGGTGCCTTTCAGACTACACCCTCGGGCCACAGCAGAAGGAAGGCTGTTAGGGTAGATCAGGCCCTTACAGTATGATGAGGATTGCTGAGACGTGTGATATAGTCTTGTCAGGGGGCGTGCTGTGGCCCGCTGACGGCACACGTCTTCAGCAACCGGAACATGTTGCTGCTTCAGTAGCACGTTCAAGCCGCGTCTCAATCTGAGCCTACAGGTGTACCACATTTTGCCCCATGAGGAAAGCGCGAGAGTTCAAGGCTGGCGATCTGACTTAAGCCGGCCGTGCGTCCGCTAGGCGTAACTTAGCTTCCTATGCCGTGCATGGTATATCGTTCTTTCTGCAATAGTATATAGTATGATGGTATGGCAAATTGTATGTGTACTGTGGCACCCTGAACACCTCGTGCCGAGCTCTTCGCACTTTACACCCTCGGTTGGAAGATTGGAACGATGGTGTCGTCGATGTGGTCCTTCGTGTTGAGGACAACCATGTTCGCGATCCACCTCGACTGGACTTCAGGGTCGAAAAGTTCAGGGTGTAGGGTTCAGGGTTTAGGGTCCAAGAACCCATGCTACAAAAAGTTTACACTCTCAATGCTTACGACCTCTGCGGGTTTGGCAGGGATCTCTGGAAGGCGGCTTTGGGGTTGGTTCAAGCTTTACATCTTATTGAAATTTGTGTTTGGGTGTGGAGATGTGCATATCTACCTAGGTTAACTAACTTGACTGTCCATAGAATCAGTCTCTAGTATATTGTGCACGTGTTGCTGCATACATATATATTTTTGTGCATATGTACGTATGTATGTACGTATGTATGTGTATGTGTGTATGTATCTCTTTGTGTATGTATGTCTGTGTGTATGTAGGTATGCACGTATGTATGTATGTACCTATGTGTATGTATGTATGTATGTATGTATGTATGTATGTATGTATGTATGTATGTACCTATGTGTATGTATGTATGTATGTATGTATGTATGTATGTATGTACTACATACTATGTACTGTGTAGCATTCACTAGGTACTATATGCTATATGCCATAAACTTTTTACTAGAAACTCTATAGAATATGCGCTATGCATATATGCTTTACATTGTAGAAGTATGTGTATAATATATTTACACACACATATATATATATATATATACCCTGCAATTCTTGGGGGCGCCGTTTTGAAGGACTCGGTTGCAGGGACGTCTATACTGGGGACCCTGCTTCGACTCACGGGTAGCCGGGGATTCAGCATTTCGGGTGAATCTGCACAACTAAAGGAAAGAGATCTTTTGCAACTCCGGTCGCTCAATTCTTGTCGTGACCTACTGCTGCAGTATCGACACGAGCACGTCGTGCTGCGGTTCGCTTCGCGAAAGCCAAATGACGATGGTGCTTCAGCGCTTTGAGCCTGGAAATGGATTTCTTCAGTATCGCTGCCTCGAAAGTGCCCGGGTTCGCTTTGCGAGCTAACAGCTTTGTCCATCGCATTGCATCCTCGTCAGTAAAGCAATGGTGGTACCGCATATTCATACCTTAGGTGCCGTTTCGAATTTGTTCGAAGCAACTTGTGTTTGCGGTTGAACTCCAAATGCTCACCCAGATGCAGCTTCGCTTCGTTTCCAAAAGCTGGTGCTCAAAGTAGTGGAGTTTCGGAACTACATTCCAGGTGAGCTCTTGCTGCCTGCTATAACACAGAGCCCTACGGGAATCATTACAAAAGATCAAAAAGCCTACAGAATTCAAAAACATATGGCTAAAACCCGGACCTCACCGAAACTTGGGCCAACTCCAAGGTCTTGTTGATGAACAGCATTCCCTCATGATATTGTTGACCTGCTTCTCCTGGGGTCAAAAATCGTGGCATCCGCTCGGACAGTCCGAAAAACCGGGCCAGGGCTGTCCTCAGTTCAACCCGAAGTGGGATGGCAATTCAACATGCGGTTACCATCTTAATTTTCTACTAGAAAGAACGAATTCCCTAACGAATAGAATAATTTAAACCAAATCTCATAGCAAGCGCTTGCAATGGAATCCTCGGGTCTGAAGAGAAACTTGCAGTCCCCGCGTTCACCTGCCCAGCCAGCCATGCTCCAAAGCAACGACGAGCCCCTGTAGCTGGTTGCTTCGATGCAGCTAGTCGCGAAACCGCTGCCAGATACTCGACCATGATCCTGCCATTCCAAGCCTTGCAGCTCATCGAGGGAGTACGGAGACCCCCATCTTTTTTCTTCATAATCTCAGCTGCATCGATACTTAGCGAAACTTGACCGTATGTCAGCTCCTAATCCAAAAAGCAAAGAACCACATAGTCGCAAAGCAGAAACCCTAAACCCGATATCAAAATTTAACGACACCAGGCTCGATATCGAATGCAAGCCACCAGTCCATACTTGAACCTCCGTTGCGAGGAGTAGACCTTGACTTCTTTCAGCCAGCCCTTGAAATCGACATAGGCCGCTTCGAAAAGCTTCCCGAGATCTGTAGACGGATCTCCATACCAGCCTGCTTTCGCCAGCGTGTACCTTGGAAAAATATTATCTAGTGGAAACAAATCTTGATGAACCCCGAACTAATGGAATTGAACCCGGAACGTTGAATCGAAGCCCAGGCACAGGCTTGAACCATTTGCAATGAAGACCAGCCCCAGATTCAGGTTGTGCATGCTGCACATGCGGATGGTGTCCAGGCCGAAATTTGGCAGAAGTAGAAGTGGACCTCAGAGAACTGGCCATAATCCTCTTGGTCTTAGATTCTGCCGACTATGTCCGTTTAGTAGAAATAACAAAACAAACAACATCGAGTCACACAAGTTCTCCAAAGGAAGCTTTTCAACCACCCAAGTAAGCACGTCTCGATAGATAGTGTTCCTCCAGGCTGCTTGTTCCCCCGTATGAGTGAATAGCAGATGCTGATTGCGACCGGTTTGTACGGCGTTGCAAAAGAAACATACCTTTGTCGATTTCCACCCATCGGGAAACCCCCAGACCAGCTTGTGCCATCCCAGATCCCCACGTAGCTCTGTCACGAAAAAACGGCCTCCTATCAATTTGCCTGCGTCCCGTGCTTCCGCCGGCGGCAAAGGCTCACCATGCATTCCTTGATCGGGGAAGACGCCCCTGCTGGCCCAACCCAAAGACCAAACAATGCGCTCCATGATTGGCAAGAGTGTTCTATTGCCTGGAAGCATCAACTTTGTCGAACGGAATGCACAAATCAGAAATCTGCTCAATCGGATGCTTCGAGGCCGGAACAAAACCAAATTCAGAAATATGCCCAGAACTTTTTCTTGTGACTCATGGAGGCCATACTTGGTCTCGTCAGCGTACAATCCAATCGGAATCGCTTCAAGATCAGTTTGCTTTGTAGCCCAATCCATTCCTTTTTCGGCTGCAAATTCCCAGTATTTGCGAATGAGGTCTTTGTCAGTTTTGATGCCAACAACCGAATGAATGTAATGCAGTACTTCGTGAGGGTAAAGCAGCGGAATATCCATCATCTCGTATGTCGCCGAAGAATTGGCTCCTTGTGGAACAACAGGAACTTTGACGAGCTTGGGTTCCTTATCATAGGAAATCATGACATCTTTACCAAATATTTCTGTATGGAAATGTTCAGATACAGACATGACGATTAACAGGAAATCATTGGCATCACCCATCATGCCGATCCCTAACCAGAACTTGGGAAACCCAGTCAATCCGCCAAGCCCCAGCACCCACAAACCAAGTCCCAATCCCATTTCAGGCTACACGTGTTAAATGAAACCCAAAGTCTTGCTTTGCCATTAGCAAGAATCCAGCGGCATTGGGACCGTCCTGTAGAAGTCTCTGGAATCGTTCTTTCCGCAAAATTTAGCCAGTGTCCGCGTCATGCGGGAGCATTGTCCTTTGCTCTCCTGGAACATAGGAAATGCAGCAATATATTTCATAAGATCATTTAACCTGGTGCATTCTGTGTGCAGAAAGAAGCCAAGTATCGGCATGCATAGTTTTTGCTGATCGAATAACACTGCTGGCGCTTTCCCCCTTGGTCCCGGCGGAATATTCGATCCCTGTGATTTTCAGACTAGGAAAGTGTGGCTATTGCAGATGAGATGCGAAATCGCCGATCTTCTCCAACCATTCTTGAAGACCTGGTCCATCATCTTCGTCACCTGCGGGGGTCAATCGATTTTTCGAAACTAGAATATTTGATGCTCAATCGATGCTCCTGATGCTCTTGAGCAATTCAAAAAGTCGGCATCTACCTTTTTCACGTCGGTCCAGCACGACTTCGCAGTTGGAACCCATGCGTGATTCCCGGGTCTATGGAATCGTGCAGCCCTTCCAGAAGAAGCCGTGCTCATCAGGAGCACTTTAAGATTTGCTGGTTCAAACCCCGAGGATTTCAAATTACCCAGCCGTGCCTAGTTACACAGCTAGGATCGGAACAGTCGCAGAATAAACTCGGAAGCTCGGAGGCACATTGACACGACTCTGGTTAATCCTTGAATCTGTGTGCTTCGATGAAATCCCAGACTTTAGCTCAAGCATTGTGGTGGTGCTTCAGGGATCCATTCGGGTTACTAGTAGAAGAAAGGTCAGTATTGTATGCGTGTGTCTGGCCTTATCTATTCTCAGACCGACTAGCCACTAGCAAGGCTCAGTGACAGCTTCTGCTGTACAACTCCCTTTGTAGAGATTACACAAGATCGTTATGTAGCTTCGGAATTTCATGGGGGCCAGTAAATTATGATGTCGGATCTTCACGTCTTGATCCTAACTTGTTATCATAACATAAAAAACCCTAACCCTTATATAAGCCTCGTCCCTGTAACCTTAAGCATACAACTCAACTAAAACTTTGACGAAAAGCTTAAGACCCGTCCAATAAATAGCTGCCCTCGCACACTTTGCTAGTCCGAGACCCTAACTTCTAGCACTACGTTGCACCCATAGGTTTAAATCCTATTCCCTAAAGCCCTAAAGCCAATTCGAACAATCAACATAACCACTTTGCCACCCCGAGACCCTAACTTCTAGCACTGCGTTGCACCCATAGACTTAAATCCTAAACCCTAGAGCCCTAAAGCCAATTCGAACAATCAACCTCGCACACT